GCAAGCACAAGTCCTAAGCTGCTCATAGGTTAGAAACCTTCTGGAGCCAGATGACGACCACCATTGTCCACCCCCTCCAAGGACAGCTAAAGAGAAGGGTGTCTGCTCTAGCTTCTAAGATGTTACCAATCAGCTGGAGGTTTCTGCACAATTCATAAAGAAGTCACAGGTTAGCCAAGTATAGCTCTGTTCCTGTTGACAGCCCTGGCTTCAAATGCCAGCAGCTATCAGCTCCTTCTATGTAAGTGGTCCTTATGGGCACTCAGAAAGGCAGCTACTGGCAGGTCTCAAAAACTCTCCTGGCCATGAGAGATTGCTGCTGCCAGCTGTTCTTCATTGCTCTTTGCCATTACCAGCCCTGGCTGTTGACAGCTTTGGGCACCAGTACCTTTTGTGTTGCCAGCTCAGCATGATCTACCTGAGATAGAAATCAGGAATAGGCAACAATATGTCATCTGGAATAGGCTTTCTTAGGATTTATGCTGCAGCATTAAAGGGAACAGTTCATCAGCTGAATCCACCAAGGGTACAGGCAGTTGTGGATAAAGGAAAACAGGGAGGCTCATGTACGTAGTGTCAAGACTTTCTGTGTGGCCGTGGGCAGTGCAGAGGCCACTGAAGACCTGAGGAAGATATAGAAGGGCAACAGGATGGAGTCATCTGCAATAGGGCCGTGAATGAACCCTGCTGCAGGTAAAGTAAACACCTTCCTGAACCCTGTGTGCCTTGCCCCTGCACAGCATCGGCTGCAAGGCATTTGGGCAGATATGGAGTAAATGTGTCTTTGGGGAAGTATTTGTCTCAGCTTCAAAAGGCTTGGCAGCTGACACCTCCAGCCTTTCCCCCCATAGATCTCAGCAGGAGCCTTTGCTGCATGTGTGTCCCACTGCTCATGCCCCTTCCACTCTCCAGACTCGCCGGAGTCTTCTTGGCCTTTGAGTAGACCTCACTGTGTCCTCTGGGTTTCCCAGGCTCCTCTGCAAACCTCTAGTGCTAGAATGATGGCTGCCAGAGGAGCACAGAGACCTCTGCTGAGACCAGCGCCTGACACACATGATGCAGCATGAAGCTCATACTTGAGAGACAGTGGATGCAGAAGTGGGCTGGCGTCACCAGGAACAAAGCAGCTCAGAGGAGTTCTGGGCTCTGTGGTGGGAAAAGACTGGGTACAGACAGCAGGGCCTGAGCCTGTCCACCGAGTGGGGGACATCCAGGCTGTGTGCTCCGTGGGACTGTCATGGGCTCAGCTTTCTCTATACCCAGGAGCTGCCCAGGTGGTTTGGACCATGGATATAAAAAGCCTAAGAGCCTGACGGCTACCTGGCCTAGCTCTCCATGAGGACCAGCACCCTTCCTCCTCTGCCCTTTTACTCCATGGCTATGTGTCTTCTGCTGCTGAATAACCCGATGTCCACTTCCCCCTACAGTTCACGTGCCTTCTAGTTTTCTCTCTGTAAGAGACCGTACTCATTTCCTGGGGCTGCTGCAAAGAGTACCACAATCTACGTAAGGGGCCTAAACAACAGAAATTTAATTTATTCCCTCACAGTGTGCAGGCCAGAACTAAGAAAACAAGGTGTGGAAAGCCATCCTCTCCCCAAGGGCTCTAGGGAGGGTTCCTCCTGCCTCCTCCCACTGCTAGTGGCCCCACATGTCATAGGCTTGTGGCCACATGGCTCTGGCCCTGCCTCTCATCACACAGGCATCTTTCCTCTGTCTCCGCTCCCCATAGGTGTCTCGGCAGACCTGACGCTGTCTCCTGTCCCTCTAGCTGTTGTGTCAGGGACCACACTAATGACCTCATTTTAACTACAAGGTGACATTCACAGGTCTTGGCTGGTGTGGACTTGCACAGCTTTTGGGGGGACATAGTTCAACACCTAACAGTGAATGTTCACAGGAAAAGCAGTTTTCCCAGTTTGGGGACTAACTCCAGAAAAACTGCCTGGGTGGGAATGACTGTGGCGTAGCACGCACGTGCAGTGCTGGATGTTTGTGCAGGGAAATGGCACAGTGGAGACAGGCAGGCCCCAGGGCAGTCTGGGCTCACACAAGTGCTCCCCTCCCATTTCCTGCACTGCTCTGGCCCTGTACTCCTCCCCGAGGTCTGCAGTTCCCTGGGGCTGACCCCTGTGGTCACCCATATGTCCTCATCTGCCTCTTGGCTCTGCCCATCTTCCCTTTACACTGTGGCTGTTCCAGCTTCGCTTCAATGCCAGGATGGCTTCTGGGCTAGTTTTGGACATGTTACACGTATTTATTTTGTTACAGAAACACCATAGCTCACCAGTCTAGGGCACACAAACCCTCAGGGACCTGTCTGGGGAGCTGGTCCTGAACCCCATGCAGAAGGCAGTGTTGGTGGATTCATACACTGAGCAGGACATTTGAAACCTTTGCTACTGTGTTTTCTGTCAGGTGCTAATCAAACCCTTTGGTGTGGACTGAGTGTCTGTGTTCCCCAAAATTCATCTGCCAAACCCCTAAAGCCCCAAAGGGATGATATTTGGACATGAAGACTTTGGAAAATAATTAAACTTAGATGAAGTGCAAAGAGGCCACAGCAGTTTCTCTCCGTCCCTAAGCACACACCCGTGCACACACACACACCTAGAACACATCCGGAAGATGCCCTCTGTGGACCAGGAAGCCACTCCCAGCAGACATGCTAGTGGCCTGTGCCTTTATCTGGAACTTCCAGCCGGCAGAATATTGAGAGGATGGAGTCTGTACTTTGAGCCGTCATCTCCAGTGCTCTGGTATAGCCCAAACTGACAAGCAAACCCTCCAGTGACATGCAAGCCACGCTGGCTGGGAGTCAAGGGTCTGTAACAAAGTCAGCATAGGCCACATGTTCACACCTGGCCCCAAATTCCCCTGGATCCCATTTGGAAGTGATGTGGATCATCCACTGAACAAGAGAGCAAGGCGATTACCCACAGAAGAGTTAGCAGTGCCCCGGCTGTGGACAGAGTTCAGCAAGGAGGTAAAGACGGCTATTATCTCCACGCTACAGATGAAGGAACTAGGCTCACTAGATCACAGCTGCACAGCTATGAAATGAGTAGAGGTGGGGCTGTCCCGCTCAGATACAGAGAGGCGAGGGGAGGGGAGAAGCCCACACTGTGTGCATGTGGCTGAGTCCCACAGTGCCTGCTCCAAGGGACTGAGATGGGTTTAAGGTGCTTACCGAGTGCTGTCCCATCAGGTCCTTCCCCAGCCCCCTCCAACGGGCAGTGGAAGTCTCAGTCAGAGTCCCAGTCACTGTGCTGACTTGCCACATTACTGCGCCCTTCAACGTCCTTCTTGCTGAAACAAGAACAGAGGATCGCACCCTGTACTAACTGCACTGGAGCCTGGGGTGAGCCGGTGAACAAAGGGTTCAGAGATAGGGACCGCAAGGAGAGGGGCCTCCTGGTGAGCCATGCTTAGCTACCCAGGAGCAGCTCAGGGGAATGATGATTCCTGACCTCACTTCTGCTGGGCCGAACAGTGGACCTGTAGCCTGGCCTTGCTGGCAACCAACTGTGTGCCCATGAGCAAGCAGGTGATCAGGTTACTCCTCAAAAAACTGTGATCATCAAAGGTCTGACTTATAGATTTGCGGCAAGAATCCAGTAAGTTAATACTCGAAAGGTGCCTGGACATAACAGGTGGTGAATAAACACTGGCTTTGACTGTGATTGTTTTACTGTCATCTGTGGGGCTGGTGGCAGGATCTGCCCTGCTCATCCCCTCCTCAGGAGCATCTCTTGTGCACATGTCCCTTTGCCAGCTCTTCCTGCCCTGTCCCCTTCATCCAGACAACTCCTACACATCCCAGCTTCCTCAGTTCTCTTGGCCTCTGTCCCTCGCCCTCTGTCGTTGGCTGTTTGCCTCTGTGCTCAGCCACACTCCCTGCCTCTGATGCTGGTCCACATCAGAGGACTTCAAGTTTCTTGAGGAAGGCCCCTTAGGTAAGTGCTCTGTAAACATTCTTGGCTAAATAAATGAATCAGTGGATGAAAGAATGGAACGCTTGATAAATAAGATTTCAATTAAAGAACTTTCTTTTCTAGACATGGAACTTGTGGTTATTACAAGCAGCAATACAACTAGAGGCAGAAAGTGGCATCCACATTCTCAGGGTTCCTACGACTCCCGTGCTTTTATTCATCATTCTAACCAACTCTTCTGGCAGCTGTTATACATGTAATACACTATTCCAAACTCAGCATATCACTGTATCATGCGCATAGCCTGGGTGGGCCAGGCATTTGGAAAGAGCCCAGAGTGGACAGCTTGTTTCTGCTCCATGGTACCCAAGAGCTCAGCAGGGGAGACCACAGGATGAGGGGGGCCCAAAGGCAGGTTCCATCTGAAAGCTTCTTCACTGGCACAGCTGGCAGTCCATGCTGGTAATCGGCAAGCATCTCACAAGGGCCATCAGCCACAGCATGTGTACGTGGCCGCTCCAAGGGGCTGCCCAGGCCTGCCCTAAGTATGATGGCCGGGCTCCATGGGAGAGTAGCACAAGAGAGAAAGGGAGATGTTTGTGGTCAAGCCTCAGGAGTCTAGAGCCCTGTGGGACTAGAATTAGTGTTGGGCCACTCATGGAAAATCCAGATTGCCATGATAACTCAAAGTGTCTACTTATGAGTATGAGGGTCTCTAACAATTTAGGAGCTTACTGAAAAGCAAGCCATGTTAGAAAATACAGGAATTTTAAAAGCAATCAGAACGACAGATACCACAGTGTATCTACCAATGTCTATGATATATGTCACATTTCCTTTTACAATTCTTACACTTGTGCATATAGTTCTGTAATTCATTAAGAGTGACTCTGATCTCTCTGCACAGCTGTTTTTATTTTAATTAACAAAATGATAGCAGTAATATCAAAAATGTATTAATAAAATTGTAACACTAGGCTTAAATACAAATATTTTAACACTTAATTTACAAAAATATCAACAAATTGATACAAAGGTATGTGGGAAGGAATTTTTTTCTTTCCCACATAACCAGTCCTCAAATCTCCTTTTTTCCTCTTTTTTGCTAGAAGTGAAGTGACAAGTGGCTTTGACTGTGTGTGAGTCTGTGTATGGCTGTGGTCTGCAGTCAAGTGTTGGCCTTGTTCACATAAGGCTTTGCTGCACTTTCTGAAATCCACTCACCTAATGTTCACGCATCCGGTGTGAACAGAGCAGAATCCACCGAGTTAGTAACTGAACATAGAGCGAAACAACCAACCTTCCCGCACCAGTGCGTTATCTGCTTTGTGGCTACCACTAGCAAACTGTTAATTACAGACCAGGGATACAAATGAATTTTAGGCCTTGTGCAAACAAAGTATAATTACAAAGATAAATCTGTTGATGAGAAAAATAAAGCAAACTCCCAGCACACAGTTTTAAACCTATAGGAAATTACTTAGGTTAATTTACTTCCATTAGCTCGGGCAACTTGGAGTTTAACTCAAGAAATATTTATTGAATATCTGACATACACAAAGTTGCTTGCTCTTTGTTGCAGTGTGAGAGGCTATGAGACCAAGCTCCCTGCACTCTGGTTGACTGGCATCCAGTGAGAAAAAGAGGTAAGTGCTTCGTGATGTTCTCGGAAATGCCAGAGACACGGTGAGACTTTGATCATCACTTGTCAAATGATGCCTTGACATGGTGTTCAGTGAAATGGGTCTCTGTCATTTTGCCAAGGGCTTTATGGCCATCTTTATATAGAGTTTTCCCCAGAGTGATGTGCCAGGCTTTGCCTCCTCCATCTACTCTCCTTGATCTTGGACCCTTTCCCTAACTAGGAAGGAGGGAGAGCCTGTAGGCCAAGACCTTTTAAAACACCAAATTGCCTTATTAAATATTATTATTCATTTTTATGTTTTCTTTGAAGGACCCATAAATTTTTAAAATTGTCTGGCTATTTATCTACATGAGTATTTTACCCCAGTGAAATATGCATGGTATGATCCCATGAATACTGTAAAAAGAAGCTTAGCTGGAGCTTGGCGTGCTTGACACCTGCCAAGATACTGTTGGCTGGGTGAGGTTCCTACAAGCCACCAAAAGACCAGCAGAAGCAGCATGACGCGGAAGGACGCCTACTCCTGTTTTCAGTGTGGCCTGAGTGGTGCCCTGCAGCCCAGCCTACTGACACCTGCAGTGTCTCCTCTTGCAGTCACTTGGCAAGTATCAAAGAGACATGGAGGGGCAGAAGCTGGTCCAGGGTTCCAGCACTGCTGGCCTGAGCTCTACAGGTGACTTGAGACTGGGTTGCTGTCACTGCCCTGCTCACTCTCAGCATTTGCCTTATTGCCCTTATCGCCACCCCTTTGAAGAGCCAGCACATGCACAGTTGCCAGATCCTCAAGTCTCTGAGGGATGTTGAGCCATCAACCCCAAACCACCCTAGCAACCAGCTGTTCTACTCCCTTACAGCTGGCCCAGAGGACAGAAAGGGACCATGATCGTCCTATTGTCTGGTGCTTGTGTTCCTTGCACTTTCTTCACCTGCCTCCTTCCTGAAGGCTGGTGCCATCCACACTCCAGCAAGCACCAGGGCGACACTGCTCCTGCTGAGGGACAGGACAAGTCGAGTCTCTGCAAGGACCCACCGTACCCCTCGGGTCTGGGCCAAGGCCCTCCCTCCCTCCCTCACCTCTGAGGTCAGTCCACCTTGGTCCCAGGAGTTACCCAAAGCAGACATGGGCACTCACTCCACCCACAGAGTAAGCTGTAGGTTTACTGACTTACATCACAGCAGAAGAATTGTTCCTAAGAGGCACAAAGAGGGTTATTTAGGCAGAATTCTATTTCTTATTAGTACATGTCTGCAGTGCATAACGTTTATACTCCTTGTGAGGAGTTGGTTCATGCACATAACACGTCTCATATAAGAGAAACCACAAGATAGTTAAGCTGTGTCTGATTTATTTCACTTAACATTGTGGTTTCAAGGTGCATCCATTTTGCTACAAATCACTCAAGCTTTTCTTTATGGCAGAGTAGTGCTTCACCGTGTATAAATACCACATTTTCTTTATCTATTCATCTGTTGATGGACATACAGCCTGCTTCCAAGATTTAGCTATATGAATGTGCTGCTGCAAACATAAGTATGCGTGTATCACTGTAATATGATGTCTTTTGGACAGACACATAGAAAGGGAACATCTGGGCCAAATGGAATTTCTATTTTTGCTTTCTTGAGGACTTTCCACACTGATTTCCATGGTGGCTGCACTAGTTTACATCCCCACCAACCATGTAGCAGGGCTGCTTAGCCCCAGTTTCGCCAGCATTCGTTACCCTTGGATTTCTTGATGACAGCCATTCTTCCCGGGTGACAAGCAAGAGCACCCGCCCTCCTCGGTGTGGGTGACGATTTCTGCGGGGTTTAGACACGAGGGGTATGTAGTAAGGCAGACCACTTACCTGTGTTCGAAGCTGCGATCAGCTCGGGCAGAGCAGAGCACTTCCTGCAGACAGGGTTAGTAGGAGGGGCACTTTACAGGTGAAAGGCACTGGCCCAGCGCCCAGTGTACAGGCTTCTTGACTTTTAAGACCCTTTTAAGAATTGTTTTTGGAGTGAGTTTCCTGGAAGGGAAACAGAGCCTGAGTAACTCTGGTGTCCTAAATGCTAATCTTCCTTTACAGTGCAGTTTTAGAATTACATGTTTCACGTGCCCCTTCTACCTGTCTTTCCTTCTTCCGTCCTTCCCCGCGTCCACACAGGGCCCGCCAGGTAAGCGGCCCTCCGGAACCGGAATGGGGCGGACGGCTCTGGCCCAGTGCCGGCTCCGTCCGGGGCCCGCTGTGACCCGGGGCGCGCAGATGCTATCTCCGGCGCGGGCGAGATCCAGGTGGGACAGGGCGGGAGGCCAGAGGTCGCTGGACCGGGGCGTGAACCCCGCCGGGCAGAGCCCCGCCCCGCGCCTGGCCCCGTCCCTCGGCGGG